AGTTGCTGGAAAATCATATCATATGACACCCTCTTATCGAAGTCGCCACCCTCTCGTCGAAGCCACCTAGAGTCTCCACCATCTTGTATTTTGTCCCTCATCCACTTCAGTTTTCATAAGGAAAAACCTAAACATCGATTCTTTGTTTGCGGATCTTTGGTTCATTTGGACCACCGTCGGCACCACCTCTATCGTCGGACCACTGGTTATTAGAACTTGGTTTGTTTTCTCTAGTAGCGGTGACGACGACACAACCCTAGATGCTCAAATTTGGCAGCCAAAAAAACCCTAGATCTTCAAATGTTGGTTCATCTTTTCTGGTAGCAGTGACAAGTTCAAGGTGACGACGACTTTCAGATATGAGGGTTTTTAAAGAGGTTCAGCACCGGTGGCGATGTTGACTGGTGGTTGTGGGCATATCTTCCGGCTGTGATGGTTGTATTGATCGATGGTGGTGGTGGTTGTGGTGACGACGATGGAGTTACAGATCTTGTAGTGTTTTGTTCTTCATATTTAAAAATATAATTGTGTTTGAGTACATTGAATTTTTCAAACTTTATTATTTTTTTGGTTGTGAAAAAAAAAATAATCGATTGATATTTGAAAATCAAAAGATGGTTATCTTTGAGTTAAGAAAACAAAATATATAAGATAAATCAGTCATTTTAAGTTATTTTTTTAAAAAAATTGGACTAAACCTTCTATAAAATTATCTTTTTTTCCAAAATTATAATTTATGACCAAAATTACAAATTTTCACAATCGTCCCCGTCCCTTTGGGCCCGTTCTCTTATCGTAGGTAAGCCCTAAAACTTAAAATATTATGTTTTTTTTTTTTTCTCAATTGAGCATCAAAATCGATGCTTGTTTGGGCCCATTCTCTTATCACCATTCATATCCATTATCTTTATGAGGCTATCGAATTGCATTATTGGTCTCACACACATCGAATTTCTCTTTTCTTTCTCAGTAAAAATGGCTGAAGCGGCCGCCGAAGGTATACTGACAAAGGTTGTGTTAGTAGCTGCCAACGAGATCGCCCTTGCTTTCGGTTGCAAACAGAAGCTGGACATCCTTCACCAAACCGTAGACCTAATTTGTGCCAAGTTGCGCGATGCTGAGAGACAAAAAGGAACAGAGGCTGTGATTGTATGGCTGAAACACCTAAAACAAGTAGTTGGTGAAGCTGATGATGTGTTGGATAAGGTTCATTACGAAATGTTGAGAAGTGAGGTAAAGAAACCAGATCGGATCGCAAGAAAGGTACCTTCTCTTCCAAGCTTGAAAAAGCTTTCATTTCATAGAGAAATTGGGCATAAAATCGAAAACATCAGCAAGAAGTTGTTACAGTTCAACAAGCAAGCAAACCTTCTAGGGCTACAAAACGAACAGTTTGCTCGTGTTCCAGATTGTCTCTATCGGGAAACTAATCCATATTTAGATGAATTCGAAGTTGTTAGGAGGGAGGATGATGAAAAACTCAAGATTGTTCCTATTGTTGGCATGGGTGGAATTGGAAAAATAAGTTTGGCTAAGTCAATCTACAATAATTCAAAAATCGAGCAACATTTTGATGTTAGAGCTTGGTTGTGTGTGTCAGTTAAGGTTGTTTTCTACACATTTCTTGCAAAGATGTATAAATCTTTGAAAAGTCTATAGGATGAACATTGTGGGTTCATCTTTAAGAAAAGAGCTTTTGTGCTAGGACAAGCACCATTGCATAAATTAGAGGAGATACGACAAGAGATTGTGTAAAAATGTCGTGGTTTCCCATTGCTAGTAAATGAAATTACAATGTCAAAGAGAAGTGGTTGTCCATAAAAAAATAGCAAAGTTTGGGATCTAGAAGAAGCAGGTAATAGTTCAAAATAACTTGAAACTAAGCTTTGATAATTTGCCCAATTATACTGTGAAGCAATGCTTTCCATATTGTTCCATCTTTCAAAAAGACAAAGTCATAAAAAGGAAAGAACTGATCAACTTTGGATGGCTTTAAGGTTGGTTCAAGCGGATGAAGCAACAAACAAAGAGATGGAGGATGTGGGAAATGATATTTTTCAGATTTTGGTAAGCAGTTTGTTGTTCCAAGATGTTAAAAGGGATGAGTATATTTACATTACTAGTTGTAGTATGCATGATATGGTGCATGATCTTGCTTTATCACTTTCCAAACATGAAAACTTATGTCGGGTGACTCCGAAAAACGATGATATTATACATATTCCTAAGGTTAAACATCTCACAGTGGACCACTATAGCAAAGATAATCTTCGAATCAACATCTCTTTTAAAAAATTGATTTTTATGGTCTTCAAAGATGATAAGACAACTAGGACTTTGCATACATTATTCTTCAAGGGTGAAGTTGAAAGCACCATTTCGTTTCAATATTTGAAGTGCCTACAAATCCTAAAATTCAATGGATGTAAATTAATAAAGATAGACGATTCAATTGGGGAGTTGGTGCATCTCCGATATCTTGATTTGTCAAATACCAAAATCAATGTTCTCCAAAAATCTCTCGGTAAACTTTGCCATTTGCATGCTTTGAAGTTGTGTGGTTGCTATTGACTCAAGGAGTTGCCAAACGACATGAGAAATTTGATAAGCCTATGAGGTTTCGAATTTCGAGAAAGCATTCCCATTCATTCAGACACTGCCTTCCTTTGGTGCGCATAAAGAGAACCGACATGAAATTGAAGAGCTCGGACTTTTGAAACACCTTAGTAGAAGGCTTTGTATTTTCAATTTAGAAGAAATTAGCAACAAAGAAGATGCTCTCAAGAAGTTATACAGTTCTGAATGCCCAAAGATAGTTCTCTTAGATGAATATCATCCTACCCTCTCATTTCCTTAGAGATATGATCATGTGATAATCTCATGTCCATTAACAGCATACACGGCCTTACATAGATAAAGAAACAGTCAAAAGAGGAGCGCCTTGTGAAGCTGATGATGTCATATTAAATGGAGAAATAGTGTAAAAAGAGATAGTTATTTAGTTAGTTAGGGTCTGTTAGTGTATACAAATGTTATATCATCTCTCATTTTGTTCAACAATAAACTCCCATTATGATTTAACCAGTTTTATTTATAAAAATGGCAAATAAGGGAATGACTTATTTATGAAAGATCCAACTCATATCCTTATTCATTGCACTTGAATTTGCGTAATAAAGTATGTCTCTTATTTCTATTCATTCACATTTTGTGATTCTGCAGTCTGGTAACCACAAAGCATGTTTCTGTGATCAATATTACTCTCTCGCTCTCTATCTAAGGAGCTGATACATTATACATCATCTATCGTTTGAGTTTGTTATTTTCTTTTTCTGCTGTTCTAGTTTTAGTTTGTATAAAATGAAAGGAATAGTTATATACTCCAAAAAAAACTTCTATTATAGAATTGTATTGTGAAAATTATACACAATTATAGCAGTGGCCAATATGTAACTGTTACCCATTGTTATGGATAGAATTTTCAAAATACAATGCCCTAAGGTTGAACGGAATGGAGCCGCGGGTTGCAAGTTTTTTGGGTGGTATTGCCGGGTTGCGGTTCCTTCAATGCAGGCGATTTAAGTGAGCGGCTTTTAGAAACCGCATGAAACTTTATCTATTTGCTTTGCTTTGTGGGTCATGCATCTTATTAAAAAAAAAAAAGGCATAGCATGCATATATGCATCTGTGACATTTTATTTATTTGTTTTTTTTCTACAT